CCCTAAAACTAACCATTACTGATCTACAGCTAACCCTAAACTGAACTTAAGTCACATCATACATCTAAACCTAACTAGTAAAGCACAGCAGAACTGCAAATAAAGTGAGGACATTGAAGAGGTCCTCACTTTACATCAAAGACCTCACTTTGATAGTAACTATGGTGAAAATGGTCCTCGCTCTGAACTAGAAACAAGAACACACACACACACACCATGAACCATCTCCTTTAAAAACACCCTCCTCTTTTCCACCACTCTGCACTTAAATCGACTCTACAAATAAATTTGCTCTCAGTGTTCTGATGTCCTCTGCTCGGACCAGAACTGATCAGCTGGACGGACCTCATTCAGACTTTTTTTTTAAATTAATTTTTATTTAGTTTATAAATTCCAATTCTAATCAATGGAGCAACACGACGCCTGCCTGGTGCGTCTTCTCAATAATTAAATACAGCAAAAACCTTTCTTCCTCTAATGACCAATTAACCAGTTTCCAACATTTTTAGTCAGCACACACTGAATAATTAATCAGCTCTTTAAAAAAAAGAAAAAAGAATCAGCCGGTGGTTTTTAGCTGCATTTATCATCCATCACAGTCTCGTGTCAAAAAAACAAGCTGTTAGCATTTTAGCTGACGGATGAGACGCAGCGGTTCAGTGAGGAGAGGATATTGTCTTTATCAATACTTGTTTTCCTCATTCTCCTCCTCTCTCCTCCTCTCCTCCTCTCCTGTCCCTCAGAATAACGTCCCYGTCTCTGTTCCTGTCCCAGGTGCTGGCCTCGGACCCCGACAGCGGGGAAAACGGGACCATCATCTACAGCATCAGTCCAGAGAACCCTTTCTACACCATTGACAACAGAACAGGGAAGATCCGGACCAGCGGTCTCACCCTGGACCGAGAAAGCTCCAACCTGAGAGACGCGGTCCTCATGAGGACCATCGTGGTCTCCGCTGTGGACCGTGAGTGCTCGGGACTTCACTTCCTGTCTGCGGACACTGCGCCTGCAGCTGCATGTTCATCATGAGCTCTTTTTAAATTCATGAGCCGGTGTCACAGTGAGATGTGAAGATTTCTGTGTTTCTGTCCCTCTGGCGCCCTCTGCAGGCGGCGCTCCTCCACTGCGAGCCACGGCCAGCGCCACAGTTTCTGTCAACCTGCTGGATCTGAACGACAACGACCCCACCTTCCTCAATCTGCCGTTTGTTGCTGAAATACCCGAGGGATTACCGGTTAGAACGTCGGTTTTTAGGGTAAAAAACAAGTTTTATTTCAACTTTTTCCCTTTTATTTGACTTGTTGCTGCTTGGTCAAAGGTAATCCAGTCAGATTCTAAAATCAGATTAGATTTAGTTGTTTTCAGACTTTTTACTTGTAGCTCATAAAACAACAGCTGCAGAAACTTGGCTAATAAATCATTAGCATAATAAAAATATAAACTATGTAACTACTTTGATTTATTTATGATTATTATGATGATTATTATTGTCTTTTTAATAATTTTGGTGAAAATATTTCATTAACATTTTATTAGCATTTAAATTTATTTGAAAATCATCTGGGGATCCTCACTTGATGTTTCATGACCCACAAAGGGGTCCAGACCCCAACTTTGATAATCATTGGATTAGCTCAAGTAATTTAATCCTAGTTTTAATCTTCGGTTTGTGTTGTTCTAGCCTTTTTAGTGGGATTGGGATCATTTTTAATAAGAAAAAATCTGGATTATTCTGATCCCAGCAGTTTGGTGAATTTCAGAAACAAAATATGACAAAATTAAATCACAACTTTTCAAATAAACATTCATTCTGTAGTTGATTTACATTTTTTATTGATTTTTTTTCCCTGATTTTTTCAATAGCTGTTAAAATTTTTTAGCTTCAATTAAAACTTCGTATTTTCAGTCCAAAGATCATTAAACGAAAAGAAAAAAGCAAAGTTTTAAACCTTTTTAATGTTTCAAGGTCAACATTTTTTTATTTCAAACTTTAGTCATTTCTAAAAACAGAGTTCTATATACAAAAAAAAGAAAAGTAAAGAAAATACAAATAAAACTAGACATGGGTTTTTACGATGTAAAACAAGTGTGCATTGCCTTGTAGCATGTCATTGTAGCATGGCTTTGCCTGCAGCAGTGGACTTGCAGAATGAACTTTGACCAAGTTCAAATGTGTTTTCTATACCAGCTTGTTCCTGTCACGTCAGCAGGTGTTTGTAATTAAGGTAATTGTGTGACAATATGAAGTTTGAAGCCATTTTTTGATAAAGTTGCTTTAGCTGGGTTATGAACCCTGATCTCCCACATGAAAGTCCATGACATACAGACCATTAGAC